CGCAATCTATTTCGCAGTTGGAATTATTTTTTTAAATTTACGTAGCGTTTTTCTAGGAAAGATCACAACAAAATCTACGAGTACTCAAATTTCAGGTTTTTTCACGCATTCTTCTGAGCGCGAAAACTCATTGAATTTGGAGTACTTTTTTAGTTGGCCCACGGCCGCCCAGGCATGGCTGAGTGGCAGAAATGAAAAATGTGCTGAATCGGCGCGACAATTATTTCGTAGTCTAAATGATTTTTTGTAAATGTTCTATTATTATTTCTGGAAAGAACACGACCTCATCTATGGATTCTTAAAATTTCAGGGTTTTGTGCATGTTAGTCTGAGCACAGAAAATCGCCAAAGTTGCCTCTTGCAAAACGCCTGTTTCGTTGTGCCTGACCTCCCTGTTTTGAGAAGACGGGGCTCAGCGCCTGGGCCTGAGGGCCCTTTTGCAGTTCACATGCCCTCATTTCTTTTTGGGGTCTGCTTCTACCCGAGGACCGGTCCAATGCCCCCCACTTCTTCTTGGGGTCCACTTCCACCCGAGGACCGGTCCTACATTTTTCCAAAAGTCTCGGTTCTACCAGAGCTAGCTATAGGTGGTCCGCAATTTTGGCTAGGACGGGTCCCCCAATTTTGTTTGCCCCCTAAGAACCCACTTTGCATCCTGGTTGCCCGCCGCCAAAAATGCGACACCTTGACACAGACGCGGAAACCCACTATACCGCAGCCTAAGGGTTGCGAAATAGCAGAGTTTCTCGAATACAAACGCACGAATTGTATTCGAATACAACCTGTACCCTTTCTATTCGGGTTTCGAAAAGAAAAAAACTCTTGTATTCCGATAAAATTACTTCTTCTTTTTGTTGGAGGTCAGCGCCTGCCCTTATGCTCCCCGGCGTCCCTGCCACTAACATGCTGCATGCTGCAGGTCTCTCTCTCTCTCTCACACACACACACACACACACACACACACACACATACACACACACACACACACACACACACACACACACACACACACGTTCAATTTTCTATCTGCCAGTTTTTCCTGATGCTTGTCCTCCCTCTAAGTTTTTTTAAGTATTTTACTGTGTGCCCAACTGAGCAACCTTAAGTAGTGCCAAACAGCCGGTGGTTCCTCGTTTGGAGTGCCAACTGCACTCTTAGGGGGCGCTCGGTTCGGAATGTCTGTGTTGCCTGTAGGTGATGACGGATGTTCATCGGAGTGTCTTCCTGGCTCAGTGGGTGGTGGGAACCAACAGTCTGTGGGGTTCACCCGTGATGTGAGTAAGTGATGTGCTGCTTTGCTCCGTGTTGGATGTGTGGATGACCCCATCTACGCTCTATCACCGCCTTGCTGCCCGTTCCGCTTGCCTCACAGGTTGTTCTTGGCATGCTGTTGTCTTTGCTATGTGGTGTGGCTGGGTTGTGGTGTTGCCTTGTGCTTCGCTGCCTTGCCACCCGCCTGCTGGTCGTGCCTTCTGGATCCTTTGCTTGAGCGCCCTGTAGTTAAGTTGCCGTGTTGGAGTTGCCTTGTGCCCCTCAGCATGGTCGCTCTGCTGCTGGTCCGCTTGTCCTCTCGTCCCTTGCAGTGTGGTTGTCTTGGTAGTGTTGCCTCGTGCTTCACTACTTGGGTGCCCTGCTGCGAGTTCGGCGTGTCGTGTTGTTCCCTGCAGTCGTTTTTGGCGTTGTGCAGCCGTGTTGCCTTTACTGTGTTGCCTGGTGCTTCACAGGGTTGCTGCCCACTGCTATGTTCCTATTGGGGACAGTCTGCCTTCAACAAGGGTCAAAGGGTTCATGACCCAAAACATAAAATACGGGGATTCCGCAGATTGTCGAAGGTTCAGCCTCCTGATGAGTCGGTGCAACTCCGACGAAACAATCTACCATCATCAGGCTTTATTATTTTTTTTCAGTTTTCTTGGTTTTGGTATTTGCCTTGTTTCGTTGGTTGTTGCTGTTTCCCTGCCTTATGTGCTGGTGTGTTGTCTTCCCTCCCGCCTCCACAGTGCCCTCCGACCTATGTGTTGTCTTAATGTTTTTTGGTACTTGCCTTGTCCACTGGTTGTTGTTGTTTCCCTACCTTATGTGCTTGTGCATTGTCTGCCCTCCCGCCTCCCCCGTGCCCTCCAACCTATGTGTTGTTGCAAGTTTCTTGCTTCCCCCGTGTGCCCTCCAGCACACGTGGTCATTTCTTGCTTCCCCCAACATTCGAGTAGATGCCGTTCTTTGCCACTACAGATAAAATCTACCATACTTGCGAATGTTACCTAAGCTAGAGGTGTGCCGATGACCTGTCATCGGAGATCATATCTGGCATAGTATAACTTGCCATGGGGTGCATTGAAGCACACACATCAAAACACATACACACACACACACACACACACACACACACACACACACACACACACACACACACACACATTCTCCTGTCTATTGACGGGGAGCGCCACCTGCTGGAAACTGGGTCCAACGTCCCATGAATACCGTGAATAAAGCATCAACCGGGAACCCCCCCACACACTCTCTTCGAGTTGTGTACAGCGAACATGACAAAACATACATACAACATATTCACTACCTTACCCACATAAACAAACGAACTACGGGCTGCGCACTCGTGCCCTCGCGGTAAGTCAATTTGTGAAGTGACACATGTGGAAAAGGGGATACTAGTAGGTTTTTCTCTCTCTCTCTCTGTTACCCATAGGGCTGCCTTCATGGTGCCCCCACAGTAGCCAGTATTTTGCGCTTGCGCCTATGAATTGCTGGAGTTTTTGGGATAGTTACAGGCCCGTTTGCTTTTGTGAAGAGACACTTGCATGTGAAAAGTGGGCACCTCTCTCTCTCTCTCTCTCTCTCTCTCTCTCTCTCTCTCTCTCTCAGTCCCTCTCTTCCTTCCTCTCCCTCCTTTCTCTCTCTCTCTCTCCCTCTTAGTCCCTCTCTTCCTTCCTCTCCCTCCTTTCTCTCTCTCTCTCTCCCTCTTAGTCCCTCTCTTCCTTGCTCTCTCTCTCTCTCTCTCTCTCTCTCTCTCTCTCTCTT